AATCAGATGTAGATTTTGTCTTTTCACATAATCCTATATTTCTTGGAGGCTTTGTTCATTTCTTTTTACTCTTTTTTCTCTACACTTCTCTTCTTGCTTCATTTCATTCATTTGATCTTCAATCACTGATACTCTTTCTTCCAGTTGATCGAGTCGGTTACTGAAGTTTGTGCATTTGTCATGTAATTCTTGTGTCATGGTTTTCATCTCTTATCAGTTCTTTTATGGTCTTCTCCGCATTGATTACTCTAGTTATCCATTCATCCATTCTTTTTTCAAGGTTTTTAGTTTCTTTGTGCCGGGTATGTAGTTCCTCCTTTAGCTCTGAGAAGTTTGATCGACTGAAGCCTTCTTCTCTCAACTCGTCAGAGTCACTCTCCGTTCAACTTTGTTCCATTGCTGGCGATGAGCTGCGTTCCTTTGGAGGGGGAGATGCGCTCTGATTTTTTGAATTTCCAGCTTTTCTGTACTGCTTTTTCCCCATCTTTATGGTTTTATCTGCCTTTCGTCTGTGATGATGGTGACATACTGATGGGGTTTTGGTGTGGGTGTCCTTTCTGTTTGTTAGTTTTCCTTCTAACAGTCAGGACCCTCAGCTGCAGGTCTGTTGGAGTTTGCTTGAGGTCCACTTTATATTACTGCTGAGTAACAATCTGAAAAGCCTCCCCTTTAGACACACACATGTGGCAAAAGCAGAACTGAAGGAATGGCCAAGGGGCTTGAACAAGTAGAGACTGACAGTCTTTGAAATTTCAGGGAACCCCAGATACATCTGGGGGGAGCCATTGTTTTCCCATTTTCCTGAAAAGTTCTCGCAGGTATAAGAAATGGGAATAGAAACTGAATAGGTTCTGGAGCCAGGGCTACAAAGGCCCCAGCTCTGATCTGCACAGACTGAAAACCACATATCAGATGAAATTATATACACAAAAAGACAGTCCTTAAAAATAGCCATCTTGGTCCCTCTCAAAACCAAAAGACCAAAATGATCAGAGGGGCCAAACAGAGTATTGCAGGTCATGATAGTACCTTTGCTTTTGTGTCTGCATGAGTTGGGGCATCATGGGAGAGTGGGAGTTCAACATTTTACACATTTGAATAACTGTGTTGGGGGACAGTGGGAGGGGGTGTGGACTTTAATTTGAGAGCTCATAAGAAATAAACTTTTGTTTTCCCACTGATCTTTCCCATTTGCAGAGTTTCCCAAACAATACTCAATGGAGTAGCTTACTCTGTGGCCATCCAAGTGCTTATTTGTGCTCACATTCTGACCTACCTGATTTTTCCACTATTTTCACTTCACTCTCCATAGTCTAGGACTCTTTCCTATGCTCCAAAAATGAAGATAATATTCAGCTCAGGAAAGATTTCAACTTATAAAGAAAAAAGGAACATGGTGTGTTGTGCTTTTCCTGGATACATTCCCAGCCCTTTGTTCAGCTATGAAGAGAGGATATTACAGATGGGTCTGGAAAACGATTTCCCAAAACGATTTAATAAATCAGTCAACTAACTGCCTTCTTCTGAAAGCTTAGGGATTATTTTAAATATGCAGACTCTGAAAAAACTACTGACTCAAAGGCACGGGGATAAACCCATGATACCAGATACTTTAAAGTGTTTTCCATAAGGTTTTGTAAGTACTGATGTTCTGGAACCACCACTCGTCAAACCTGGTTACGTGCAGAACTTCTGACGAAAGGGGAAGTTTAAAGTCTATATGCCACATTATGAAGCATTTCCACTCTGAATCAAAAAGTTTCAATCTCCCCTTTCAGAACAGGGATCGGATTCAGACAAGCATAGACTCACAAGGAAAAATGTAAAGATGTACAAGGGTGGTTACCGTTTTCTGGAAGGACATTATCCTCATCCAGAGAGAGCAGGTTCCTGTAGTTCTCCAACATCACGTCCCTGTACAAGGCCCTCTGGGCAGGGTCCAGGCACTCCCACTCCTCTTGAGAGAATTCTATGGCCACATCCTTGAATGTAAACAGTCCCTGAAATAAAAACACACTTCACCAAGTGGACACAGAAAAATTTCTTATTTTCACACAAAATGACAGAAAAGAGGTGTAAATATTCACTTGGCCAGAGTGATGTGACTGATTTATGTGAGTTAATGTAAGCAACTTATATATCCCTGATTTTATTTTTTTAAACTGAGATGAAATTCACGTAACATAAAATTAGCTATTTTAGGCTGGGTGCAGTGGCTCACACCTGTAATTTCAGCACTTTGAGAGGCTGAGGCGGGAGGACCTCTTGAGCTCAGGAGTTTGAGACCAGTTTGGGCAACAAAGTGAGACTCCATCTCTACCAAAAAATTTTTAAAAATTAGCTGGGCACAGTGGCATGGGCCTGTGGTCCCCATTACTCAGGAGGCTGAGGTGGGAGGATCACCTGTGCCTGGGAGGTGGAGACTACAGTAAGCAGTGATCATGCCACTGCACCCCAGTCTGGGCGACAGAGCAAGACTTCACCTCAAAATAAAACAAATAAATTAGCCATTTTAAAGTATAATTCAGTGGCATTTAGTACATTCACAAAGTTATACACCACCACCTCTGTCTAGTTCAAAAACATTTTTATCATCTCCAAAAGAAATGCCGTACCCATTAAGCAGTCACTCCCCATGTGACTTTAACATAAGATAAGCTTAACCAAACAGGTAAATGACTTGCATGCTGCAAACTATAAAATACTAATGAAGGAAATTAAAGCAGACAAAACAAATAAATGGAAAGATATTCTATGTTCAAGAACTTAGGAAATTAATACTATGAAAATGTCCGTATTATTCAAAGCAATCTACAGAGTCAATGCAATCCCTATCAAAATCACAGTGGCACTTTTTACAAAAATATAAGAAATAATCCTAAAATTCATATAGAACTATGGCCAGGTGCGGTGGCTCACGCCTGTAATCCAAGCACTTTGGGAGGCCAAGGCGGGCAGATCACAAGGTCAGGAGATCAAGACCATCCTGGCAAAACACAGTGAAACCCCGTCTCTATTAAAAATACAAAAAATTAGCCAGGCGTGGTGGTGGGCGCCTGTAGTCCCAGCTACTCGGGAGGCTGAGGCAGGAGAATGGCGTGAACCTGGGAGGCGGAGCTTGCAGTGAGCCAAGA